TCAATTTTAATCAAAATCTAACTAATATTTGTCTATTTATTTAAGTTGTCGATATTTACAATAATAAAATAATATTTACTACTATTAATATTATAAAACCAAATATATATACTAATTATTTGTAAGATCCTTTGTAAGTACCTAAACTATTATTATTATATGGTATTTACATATCTATATAAAATGTATTGAATAATATTGTACACTTATATATATTGCATTAATCGCATACTACAATATATACCTAAACGTACGCGATATAGGTATAATGCAATTTGTTTATTCTATTTAATCAGTCACTTAAACAAATATGTATTACAAAATTGTTTGTTTTAAATTTACTGTAGCAATAATTCAGGATAGATTAGAAACATTGGATTGTTCATTATTATAATAGAAATTTATGCGGGTATATTAAAGTTAAAAAATTGTGTGTGTTTTTGATAAATATATATTACTTTAATTGCTCGTTGTTAAAATTTTGATTGGTCAGTGCATGCAATACCTATTGGAGTAGTGACTACTCTTAATAAAAGAATAATAATACAACAAAAATACAGAAACGATCAGTGACGTCAATTATTATTGCATCCAACCATTGGGGGTCGAATGGTCGAATGGTATTTTTTTTTTTTTTTAGTAATACCACAGTCTGTAAATAAATTAAGAGGTTAAAATATCGTGGTCACTGTGGACGAGTGGAGCGGTGAGAGATGCTCGAGAGGGGGACTGAAAATAATCAATTTCTATTAGGCTATASGAGTTTGGCAGCGATACAATATCGACTTGGCGAAAAACGCGTCTATTTGGCCCTCTAGGACAGCCGTCGGTTGGTCCTAAAAAAAAAATCTAAATTAAATAAAACAAATAAACGCACGAGCCGAATCATCAAAGAATATTTTTATTTATAATATATAATACGTGTCATTATCAAAAAGAAGAAAAAAACGTATGTAAAGATAATAAATGTATAGTGGTTTAGTCATTAGGTTATTGCAGCAGTAGTGTTGTGTCTCCGGAAATTACTGCGTAGCTCACGAAAGGGTAGAACGGGGGAGTGGGGTAGACAACTCGGCAGTAGTTGTATAAATATAACTCGTACCCGAAACGTTTTTTTTTTTTTATTCGTTAGTTTTTTTTCTCAGAACGAAATATTACGGTTACCACGTGGTCGCGAGGTAGCAGTTTCATGCTGTAAATCAGAAAAAAAATGTGCATGTAATTTCGTCAGCAGTTGGTATATTACATAACGACGATGATGGTGAGAGGAAGGTGAATTTAAATCATAGTAAACTTACATATACGAGCTTACCTTGAACTTTGCAGTATGTACATTATTATGTATTAGGTACCTATGTGTTTTATCGTCTATATTATATWTAATATGCATTATATAGCCACATTCAGATATATGTATATATTTAAAAGGAAATTGTAAATTATGAGAAGAAAATAAATYGTTGTTCCAATTCAGACAGTATAATAATATTATTTGTCACTGTGCACGATAGTATGAAAAAATAAGGCTATTAAATTCGTTTTTTCATTTCGTTTATGAAATTTTCTATAATTTATTAAAATGTTACGTTTCGGTGGCATTCACGAGTATCGTGAGTTTACTGCAACATATTTAAATACAGCTGTTTTGACTATTTATACCAATCTACTCATTCACAGAGCTGGTATACGTAGATAACTATTATAGGTAGATATGTAATATATCCATAAACGATAGACGATAATTATTCTGTTCGGAAATGATCGCAAAATCTGTAAAAAAAATTTGAATTTAGTGACAGATATTTTGGATATTCTTCATATACCTACTTAGGCGTTRTTACATAGGTACATAATAATAACTATACAGATTTTACATTGTATATAATATAAATTTGATTTTTATGGTCTTTTTTCAAATATATTAATAATGTCTATTGATTATTGACTTATTGTAGAAATTAAATATAGAGTAAGTTTTTTTTCACAGTATATTTTATGATTTTGAATACACTTTAATATAATATTATACCTATTATACAACACACTTTCGCAAAATGTACATATTCTTTATAATATAGGTACAGTGTTTTTATAAATTATTTGATTTCATGAAACGTTTAAGACCATTTGATATTGATATACTCCCAATACTGCGAACTCGTGGCTGTTGATGTATAAAAAATCAGATTTCCGTCCAGTGCCCAAATTWTTTTAATATTTACGGGCCGACGACGAGGCGTGTTTTGCAGCGATGATGCGTCATCCCCTGGAATTAGATGTGTATTGCRTATAGTTCTTAACCGGCTGAATGCACGTTAAAATGCTTGTTTGTTCATTAGTTTTTCCGGCCAGATGTCGTTTGTCTATAACGTGCCTTTCAATATTTTCTTGTCACAGACGACACCAAAAAACACGACGACAAATATAAAACATGCGGCATCATGATGGACGATGACGGTGACCATACCGTCGTATGTTACAAAATTATTTAGCGATTACGTTTAACAGTTACTTGTCCGCATGGCGGGACGAAATGTTCTTGGATAACTCACTGAGCTTGAAAACGAATCAACGAATTTCACCTGTCGCGCACAATAGTGTGGATGAATAGAAAATAACTAATCGTCTGTCATTGTGTTTGTTTTTGGGAAAATTAGAAAATTTGAACGGCTCGTCATTATCACATTACGTGCAAATTTTAGTTTGTTAAACTGCATTATTATATAAATTCGATGATAGAATTAGTCACGGTTTATTAAACACCATTGTCAGCCATCGAAATTTAATGCACTTGTATACTATATTAACGGCACAACCCAACACGTCGTAAATTCCCAAAATCAGGCGGAGATCATCACTATTATTGTAATGATTTAGGAAATTACTACGTGAAACTAGTAACAAAATTATATTAAATACACGGTTTCAAATTCTCCTCCGACTTCTWATCGGATCGCCAATTCGTTGCCGGAAATTGGATCGAAGTAATTTACATATTATGTAACGAAGTTTTCACAAATTTTTCACTATGTATTCCAATTTTAATTAATTTAATATTATTATATTATGTTTACTGATAAAACACCCATTTGGGTAATCCAATTAAATAAAACGAGATTGAAACTCGAGTGACATATACAGGCCAGCAGTAGAAATGTATAATTATTTCGTAGAAACAGACTTTTYATTAATATATCGTAAATTTTTTCTTTTTCAGGTGGTGCTTGTGTTCATTTTAAGTATAGCATCTCTAATTATATATTTTATCGACGCCTCCAAGTAAGTTAAATAACACAAATTGTAACACACTTACATCAGTGTCCAAAGAACCATTCATTTAAATAACGGGTTTTTTTCCAGCGAGGAGGTTGAACGATGCCAAAAGTGGAGTCACAATGTTACTCAACAAGTAGATTTAGCGTTCAATATTTTTTTTATGGTTTACTATTTTATAAGAGTAAGTATTTTTGTTCTTAATTAATGYTAAATGATTGTATATTTCTCCAAGGAGTGTCTCGCGAACTAGCATATTTATTTTTTAGTGAAAACCACTCATTCTAATTTCCAATAACTGAACAAAATAACGACTATTTCAATTTTAATTCTGAAAAATATTAAAATTATCCATAAAATTTACACGATGTGCGCAAAATTCTTTTTCTTCCTTTGAATTGTCATTTATCAGTTGAAAAATAGCGTGTTTTAGGTAAGCGCGAATAAAGTGATATTTTTTCAGTCATTCAACCTATAGAATAGGATGTTTATTTTGAAGTGAAATAAAATATATAAATATAATAATATATACATACCTCTAAATTCCCTCTATGTTATATACCACTATATAATGAGAGACGGCAAATATGGGACAGCATGTCTTTTTCGGCATAGTGTAAATGTATAAAAGTAGTTAATAATTTCTTATATACCTACAATGCTTTCTATCGGTRATTCAAGTGTACAACTACATTTGAAAATAAAAAGGAAAATAATTTATTTATTTTCTCTTCCATGTTATATTTTTCTTAGAAAAATAACTCARCGTGACGCTAAGTTTTTGTCTTACCTCCGTAAACAAGTTTCTCTTTAATAATTTTAAAATYGGGCTTAACTCCTTTCTTGTAAATTGTAAAAACTAGTATGGAAAATTCAAATTTTTTCATTTTAAGAACCATCGTAGACGCTAAAGATTGTCATGTACCATTGGAATATTTTGATTTCGTTCGTTAATATRAATTAGTTACCATTTTGCTTTATTCGACATAGAATAGTAAGTTGACATGTTTATTTTTTATAATGGGTACAATTGTGTAGAATCATACCTTATACGTTTACTTCACCCGAACGCATACCTAATTCACACTAATGATAATTCATAACTAATACAATGACGCGGTGGACAACAGAATGCTTATTATTATGTTGCCTATAAAATGTTCCTCAGAATCTGGTAGTCACGATGGGCTCCTTAGTTGGTACTTTTATTATTAGGAGATAACTTGTTCTCTGCAAATATTTAAAAAAAATATTAAATGTAGTCATAATATTGTGTGATTACAGTATCATAAAGTATACTAAGATAACGCATTTACGAATAGGAGATGTAATTTTTTTTATAGTCAACGTTCTACAATTATTGAAAAATGTACATACATAAATGTGAAAATGAGAAAAAGAAAATCAAATTGATATTATTGTGAACGAAACTAAAAAATATTACAATGCAATTTCCTGTTGCTTTAATGATTGTAATAAAAATTGTATAATGTTTTGAATATAATTCGTTATTTATGCATTGTATAATAAGAAATTATTTAAATGAGTACAAATTTAAATAATATGAAATGCTGATGAGAGTTTAGAAATTGTATAATAATATTCTTGCGATGAATATTTTCATACTAGAGTACAATTTTCAACATTTTCTAACTTATTATTGACTAGTAAATAGCGATAGTAAAAGTTCACAGTAAATTCAACTTAATAAATATTTTTTCAGGCTGAAAAAGTGAAATGCATCACAATACACACTACCCAGCATCCTAAAGTTATTAAATACTTAATTAATATTTTAATATTTTACATAATAGAATGTCAGTTTTACTATAAATTATTAATTTATGCGTATTATCACCGTAATTATATTTYCATAATTTCAATAATATTTATCTTTGGATTTTTAAAATGTTTTTAATTTTGCTTATAGTTTATAGCCGCCAGTGATAAGTTATGGTTTATGTTAGAAATGTACTCGTTTGTAGACTACTTCACGATTCCACCGTCGTTTCTCTCGATTTACTTGGGTCGAACTTGGATCGGTAAGTGTAATTAGATGTTTAAGGAAAACGATAATAACAAAACATAAAAATGTAATGTTTATCAACTATATTATTGTTCTGTTAGATCACAAAGATGTATCGTTTAATATTATCGTTCTAACCTTCGAAATACACTAGGTTTTATCGTTTTTTTCTAGGTCTAAGGTTCCTCCGAGCTCTGCGCCTAATGACAGTGCCTGATATTTTGCAATATTTAAACATTCTAAAAACGTCGAGTTCAATTCGACTTGCTCAACTCGTGTCTATTTTTATATCCGTGTGGTTGACCGCCGCCGGAATCATCCATCTCGTAAGTACTACCTACTAAAACTGAATTTAATTGTATTTTTTCTGATTGTGAAAATAATAATTAATCATCCCATAAAAGTCACTGGGAAAGCTACAACAAAATTGTCTATCTATTGTCTGACGTTACAATTTCCTCTGAAATAAACGTCGAATAAAGGTCGTATCTTAGAAGAGTGTTGTGATGTTTAGACATTATATAGTATTATCATTGCCAATWTTTTTCATACTATATTTATTACGCCCACATAAAAAAATAACGTTTTGAACGAAGTAAAATAATTGGAATAGCACAATAATAACATGTGGTGTGTATATTCAWTTTTTTAATTTAAAATATTTACCAATCTAAATTGACCAATTTATGTGAATTTTATCTATGAAAATTGTGGGTTTACCTCATAAACTATACTTAGATTACAACACTATAAATTGGAAAAATGCATGATATTTGGACTCGTACCTTTATCAAATACGTTCTTAGATACGACTTTGGGCACAAAATATGTATTTAAACCGACAATGGTGTTTGGAATATTTTAGCTGGAAAACTCGGGAGATCCATTTGAGTTCCAAAACCAGCAACGGTTATCATACTGGACTTGTGTGTACTTTTTGATTGTCACCATGTCTACGGTCGGATACGGAGATGTGTTTTGYCAGACTATTTTGGGCAGAACTTTTCTAGTATTTTTTCTACTCGTCGGCCTCGTAAGTGTTATGTTTCTTTTTTAATTACATTATATTTTAATTTCTTATATTTTGCCTCTTGTTTACATTAAGTGTTACATAATTGTAATAGTAGAATCACGTAAAATATAATGTCACGTGCCACGTGAATCTAGGGACGTATAATATATATATTTAGGTCGTTATTCTTTGGTTAAATCATGACTTAACTACACAATCGGGGACGATAATGTCGTAATATTTGCAAAAAATAG